GGGGGAAAATACTACATTTCCCACAATGCCTTGGCTACGGTAGCCGCAGCGGTGCTTCCGCATCCGTACTCACGAGCCGAACTGCTGCCGTGCACTCTCTCTCTCTTGCTCGCGTGAGGAAAACAAAACGCTCTCAATGACTGAAACTCTCCTTTAATAAAACTCAAACTCAAATCATCTCTCAACGGTACATCTCACACATGTACATACGAGATAACAAATGTAAGTAACGTGCTTTGCAATTGGGTAGTGTTCCTAACCAGGTAAGAGCGCATAAGGATCATATCTTAACACCATGCAACCGAATTGCCACTTAAATAAGCTATAAATAATGAGTTATTTAACTTTAAGGAGTAGTTACATTTATTTTACATTAAAATAGTTATTAATTAATTATTAAATAATTATTATTTTATATCTTTTACATTCTTTTCAACGTTTAAAGGGGGGCTAGAGTAAAAAAGTTTGAGAACCTCTGTATTATTACTAATGTGGGGAAATCTTACTAGCTATTATTAGTAATGTATTGACAATGTTACTAGCTATTATTAGTAATGTAGTGACAATGTTACTAGCTATTATTAGTAATGTAGTGACAATGTTACTAGCTATTATTAGTAATGTAGTGACAATGTTACTAGCTATTATTAGTAATGTGGTGACAATGTTACTAGCTATTATTAGTAATGTAGTGACAATGTTACTAGCTATTATTAGTAATGTAGTGACAATGTTACTAACTATTATTAGTAATGTAGTGACAATGTTACTGGCTATTATTAGTAACGTAGTGACAATGTTACAAGCTATTATTAGTAATGTAGTGACAATGTTACTGGCTATTATTAGTAATGTAGCGACAATGTTACTAGCTATTATTAGTAATGTAGCGACAATGTTACTAGCTATTATTAGTAATGTAGTGACAATGTTACTGGCTATTATTAGTAATGTAGTGACAATGTTACTAGCCATTATTAGTAATGAAGTGACAATGTTACTAGCCATTATTAGTAATGTAGTGACAATGTTACTGGCTATTATTAGTAATGTAGTGACAATGTTACTGGCTATTATTAGTAATGTAGTGAAAATGTTACTAGCTATTATTAGTAATGTAGTGACAATGTTACTAGCCATTATTAGTAATGTAGTGACAATGTTACTAGCTATTATTAGTAATGTAGTGACAATGTTACTGGCTATTATTAGTAATGTAGTGACAATGTTACTGGCCATTATTAGTAATGTGGTGACAATGTTACTAGCTATTATTAGTAATGTGGTGCCAATGTTACTGGCTATTATTAGTAATGTAGTGACAATGTTACTAGCTATTATTAGTAATGTAGTGACAATGTTACTGGCTATTATTAGTAATGTAGTGACAATGTTTACTAGCTATTATTAGTAATGTAGTGACAATGTTACTGGCTATTATTAGTAATGTAGTGACAATGTTACTGGCTATTATTAGTAATGTAGTGACAACGTTACTAGCTATTATTAGTAATGTAGTGACAATGTTACTGGCTATTATTAGTAATGTAGTGACAATGTTACTGGCTATTATGAGCAATGTAGTGACAATGTTACTGGCTATTATTAGTAATGTAGTGACAATGTTACTGGCTATTATTAGTAATGTAGTGACAATGTTACTAGCTAATATTAGTAATGTAGTGACAATGTTACTAGCTAATATTAGTAATGTAGTGACAATGTTACTAGCTAATATTAGTAATGTAGTGACAATGTTACTAGCTATTATTAGTAATGTAGTGACAATGTTACTGGCTATTATTAGTAATGTAGTGACAATAATACTGGCTATTATTAGTAATGTAGTGACAATGTTACTGGCTATTATTAGTAATGTAGTGACAATGTTACTGGCTATTATTAGTAATGTGGTGACAATGTTACTGGCTATTATTAGTAATGTAGTGACAATGTTACTAGCTATTATTAGTAATGTAGTGACAATCTTACTAGCTATTATTAGTAATGTGGTGACAATGTTACTGGCTATTACGGTATTACTAATGTGGGGGCAATGTTGCACTGGAACAGTGATGGTGATAACGAATGGTGGACTTTAGAATGATGAGTGGGGGCAAAGAAAAACATTACAGCCTTTTTTTTGTTACTTTTACTGTTTACTGTCTGTTCATGTTACATGTTTGGCTGTTAACTTTTACACAGTTGATATAAAATATTTTACAAAAGTGTTTGGTTCAGAATCTTTTTTTTCTAGATCTTCCTCTTTTAAAATTGGGTGCGTCTTATGTGCCGGTGCGTCTTATGATCCGAAAAATACTGTAATTCTTTTATATTTAAATGTTCTTCAAATGAAGACACTACTGAGTAAAATGTACAGATTACTAGATTAAAAGCAAAAAAGCTCACTACCCTTTTCGACTGAATAAACATGCTTGTGCATTACCCGGGCATGGTCATCTGAGCAAAAGCCACTCGGCTCTTCTGTCCTCCTGACAGACTGGCCACGGGTCGAGTGGCGAGTTCACCAGTCACTCCATATCGACCCAGCTGATGCCGATACTCTTCCTCTGGCTGACCTGAACAGACACAGAGATCCTCAAAGCTTCATCCAATTCATACACCACATTGTTCTTTTATTTTATTTAAGTGTTTACATGCATCAAAGAGTACCATGTGTTTTCATGAAAGTAAACGAAGGTTCATTGTCAATGTAAGCCCTTAAAGGATTTTTTACTTTTTACTGTTCATGATCTTTTCACAACATGATAACCGCGGTAAGTCCGCTCTGTTCTCTCTGTCAATCACACGGTTCCGTCTGTTTTTTTAGGGGAAAATTGAGCCATCATGAACCACACGAAAATAAACCTGAGATAAAAATGAGCAAACTTCTAAAAATCATTGCAACCATATGTGAAAATAACGTAAAGTGTAAGGAAATAGACATGCTTTGGGTGGTAATCATTATGTAACCAGCACCATGTGGGCGATCGCCGCGGTTTGGCTTCTCTTCGCCGGCCATGTGAGACAACTTGGTGCTGACATACAAGGTGCTGCACACCAACAACGGAAGAATGCAGTGTGAAATTGTCGATTAAAAGCATGAACCAGTGAGTGCCAATGAGTCACTAAGTGCCCAGATGGGTCAGTGTGCCTTAGCAATTTTCTCACAATGTGCCTTAGCAATTTCCGGCCAATCAAGTGTGATCAAATACCAGGGAATCTCTTGGCTAGAAGCTCTATAGAGTTGACGTTGAGGTCCAGCTGATCCACGTGGTGCTGACTAAAATAACCAATCTTCAGCTTCCTGTAGGGAAAAATCATATACAAGAATGTTTGGAATGTATGGCAACAACACCGTACGCAACTCCTAATTCATTTGTACAATCTCCCAAAGCTTATTAGTAATAATAAACAAAAAAAGAGATCCCTTAAGCATGTAAACATCTAAATTTAAATATTTTAGGTGACTAATTACAACATTTTTGTAATAAATTAAATAATTAGCTCAACTGAGACATACAGTGTACATTTAGACATGTAAAATTCCATGCTCACCTGTGTGCAAATCTGGTGCCGTTGATTGGTACCAATTCTCCCATAAGAAGCTTCAAGAGAGTGGATTTACCAGCTCCGTTCTCTCCCACCTACAACCAAAAGCCCCGATCCAAATTAACGTGGGAAACAGAGAGGGGGCGACATTTTTCAACATTCATATATATATATATATATATATATATATATATATATATATATATATATATATATATATATATATATATATATATATATATATATATATATATATATATATATATATATATATATATATATATATATTAGGGGTGGGCGATATCTCGATATTTAAAATATATCGAGATATTTTTTAAACTCGATATGAATTCTGGCATATCGTATATATCGATATAATGTCTTATTTTTAATTTTCGCCACTTTGCTTGTGTGCCTTCTCAGTGCTGCGCTCGTCCGCGCCTCCTTGCTTTTGTTCCCCCTCCCCTTGCCTGTCGTCTCAATCAACATGGCGGCACCCGCGACCAGCCCGGAGGCTACTTGTTGCAAAAAAAGAACAGCTGGCTCCATTATATGGAAATACTTTGGTTTTAAGTCGTCAGACTAACAACAGACAGATGTCTACTGCCGTGAATGCCGTGAAAGTTGCTGCCAACCAAAGCTCAACTAATCTCCACAATTCTATAACGCGGAGTGTAGAATATGAAAGACAGAGCGCAAGGTGGTGTAGCGTCACAGAGTTCATGGCATTTCGCAAAGCGGTGGACATGGCACCCATATCCGTCGTTGAACAACGTGGCTTTAAACGTATGCTAAAAACACTTGATCCCAGTCAGATACAGTTTACCGAGTCGGCATTACTTTTCTAAAACAGGAACTCCCGCGACTGTACACTACAGAGAGAGCGCGGCTTGCTGCTGAATTGGAAAAGGTTACTTACATTCTTACAACAGAGGTCCTGCAAAGATGAGTTGAGTTGAGTTGAGTTGTTTTATTTTTGAATGAAAAGAAGGCAATGTGTATTATTTTACAGTTAAATTATTATTTATGTTATCAGGGATTTTGTTTATATCCTAAATGTTACAGGAGCACTTTGTCCCTATTCACTGCCTGTTTTTTAGTTGTTTTATTTTTGAAAGAAAAGGCAATATGTATTTCTTTATTGTTTCATAATATGTATACAAGGATTTCTGAAAGAAAATTTGCAGAAGCACCTCTGAGCGTCAATAAAAAACGACTTTGAAATTTGTAATATTTGTTTTTGCAGTAGTTTGTTTTGTTTTTTTTGGGGGGGGGGTTAAATCCTGTCGATATCGAGATATATCGTATATCGAGATATAGCAAAATATATCGAGATATATTTTTTGCTTCATATCGCCCAGCCCTAATATATATATATATATATATATTTTTATTTTACATTTCAAACATAACAAAAATGAAGTAGTAGTGGACTGTGAAACAAGGGTGGCACTGTGGTGTAGTGGGTAGCACTGTGGCCTTCCAGTTAGAAGGTTGTTGGTTCGAGACTCGCCGGTGACCTTCCTGGAAGGAGTTGGCATGTTCTCCCCGTGCTTGTGCGGGTTTCCTCTGAGTACTCCGGTTTCCCCCACAATCCCCAAAACATGCAGTTAACCTCTTAAGCCCTGAGGCCTATTTTCCGAAAATCCCATTTCTCAGCTTTTACAAGGCCTAAACTGCAAATCTTGGTATCAAAATGAAGATAGGTTCTTGGGGAGTGGTGTGGATGAGTTCATTTGACAGTCAAGAACACTGGGTAAGAGTAATTGATGTTGGAATGGCCAAAAAATGAACTCCGCCTAAAAAAAAAACACGTTTCCTCCAATATCTCCTTATTTTACTTATAACGAAGCAAATAAACACAATCAATTGTAACCACTACATGTCAAGGACATCTATAGCAAGTTTGGTGTTCATACTACAAGAAACTAATATTCTGTACAGGTTTTGATTGAACAAAGTTCAGGCGTAATCCATTTCGGCATAGTTTGGCACAATTTGGCACAATAATTGAAATATGGAAAAAATCTTGTCCAAAGCTTCAGCTACGTTCATAGTCTTCTTTTCTTGCTTACGGGACATGATTTCAGCAAAAAAAACTCCAAAAGAAACGCTGTAAAAGGGGGTTGGAAGCTCATTTACCCCATCTTGTTGCGCTTTTGGGAACGTTTCACTCACAAACGCTTTGACGTCGAGCTTCTGCGTGTCCCTACCCCCCGACCATCTGTCCAATCCGAGAGCTCTATATATCGCTGGAAAGCTCTGATTCTGAGGAAGCCAATGAGATCAACCATTTTGAGACTGACGGGATCGCTAACGAATCACACGACGCGCAGCGTGGAGAGACCACCTCTTACGCACGGGGAGTCATTCCATATTTGGTGACATCATGACGCCACGGAGCAACAAAAAAAAATCTAAAATGGAGTTTCCGCGAAGCTATCGACCGGACATAACAACAAACGGACTTTTATCGCTATGGAAATAACTTTTTGTTGAAAAAAACGGCAAAGGTAAGACAAGATTTACATGCTTGCTTGGTTTTCGCTGGCGTTTTTTCGTGGAACTTTCGCTCCCTGCTCTGAAATACTTCATGCAATGTTAATGAGTTGCATATCGCTGGATTCAGCTGGTTGTTAGCTTTCATTTGATGCCATGGTTTGGGTGTTTCCGTTTATATTGTGGATACATATCGCACATAAACAAAAACGTGGTCATGAATTATACTCCGACTATGTTGTTGTTTATTTGCATGGCGTTCGAGCTGTGGTTAACGGATATGAAATTGAATTAGATACTTTTTTAGAGGAGTTTCCGCTGAACACAACAGTATTTAATATGTGTGGGTTATTCTCAGGGTTAGTGAGCTATGAGTGAAAATGTAACGCACAAGGGGGCAAGTCCCCGGTACCGGGGACTCTCGGGCTTAAGAGGTTAATTGAATAATCTAAATTCCCCCTTAAGTGAAATGTTACCCTGCGATGGACTGTCCTGTACCCCCGCCTCTCTCCCAATGTGCACCCCGAAAGGGAACAAGCAGGTTAGAAGATGAATGAATGAAACAAGTGTAGCCTTGTTCCAAAACAAGATATTAACATTGTGCGCTCATTGAGCTTTTTGCAGTTTTTACATTAAAATTATTCTAAATAAAATAAGTGTCTAGGACAATTTTTGTGCTGTAATTGCGAAGCCCTGCAAGGTTTTAATCTAGGGATGTTTATTTTGAGTATTGGCTGATGGTGAGTCCCGATCCTAAAAGACAATAGATGACCTCCTCGTAACATTTGCGTAAAATAAACTACGTCCCTGTATTTTTGCTTTTTCAATGCACAGAAAAAAAAGTTTCCCTTTTTGATTTGATTTAAACATTATTAAAAAGGCATACATTGTGTTACAAACAAATATGCACTGGAAAATAAAAATATTAGCAAACTTAAGTTGGTTCTTATATGCATCTGCCGGTAACTCACAGCTTTGGATGACAGGGCAGCAGCAAACCTTTCCAGATTTGCTGAACAATGATTACTTCAGCATTATTTTATCATTTTCATAGACACATTTATTATCATTTTTTATGCAAAAGCCTAATTTGTGGAGCACAGCTGTTGAACTCTCTCTAAAGCTGGACTGACAGACACATAATCACCCGCTCGGGTCACTGCGCCTGCTTTTAAATTCGTCAATTCATCCCATAAGGGAGCTGAGAGAGTAGCGTCGGTGGAGGTTTAAATATTAAACAAATTTTAACCGATGTAAACAATACATCAGAGTAAACCCATAAAATGTGTTTATTGCCCATTTACGAAATATGCCGATTTGCTCAGAGCTACAATTACATGTGAAATAAGGTTGGTGAATCTCTGTAATGTTTATTCCTGCCCTATACCATAATATCCAGATACTGTAGAGTTCATCAACACTCAGATATTTGCCTCATTTCAAACAACTAACTAAGGATCTAACTAACAACTAAGGATTGGTAAAACAACTAGTAACTGTAGCTCATCAGCGGAACATTTTATAGATATTTTATTAAATGATCAATCAATCAAAGTATATTTGCTTATAGAATAAAGTATAGTGTAAAACATGTATACATAAAACACATTTAAAAGAAAACAGTAACATAAAGAAAGCAAAGAACAATGAAATGATGCATACGATGCAGATCCGCGACTCCAGATCCGCAGAGATGGAGAGGCTACTGAAGACCCGATGATCAGCAGAGTATCCAAACTCAACCTCGTCCAGCTGAAGGATCGGAGGATAGAGCTTCTCAAAGTTATCTGGAAAACTGAGGACATCAAAAAAGCATATGATGTTTTGGGACTACAACCACTAAGATGCACAACAAGCAGGAGAGGAGGCAGAGAATCTGACCGTAAGATGACTTCAGACTCCTTGACTAGGGGCTTGAGTTCAGGTCTGCAGAAACACATCAACTCAACTCAACAAAGAGATCTTGTAAGAAAGTGGGAAGTACACCAGACAGAACACAATATTGTACAAACCCAGGCCAGTTTTAAAAAGAAGCACAGGTGAAAATATTTAATTTTTACAGTATATAAACCGTATTGAACAGCAACCGAGTACTGTGTAACGCGGTGTTTGGCATATCTCCTCTTGAGGCAGAGTAAAAAGGTACAAATAGCACAGAGTTGAGAAAGTTTTAATCGCGATCCAGTTACTCACAGTTTTTCTAGCAGCTTGAGTTTGCTCTGCACCTGAGCTGCTCGGTTTGCATTGTATCTGAACCGGTCGATGAAAACCTGATAGAAACAATAGTGACATTCAAAGGATGGATGTAAAAACATGTTCAGAAAGGCAGAAATAACTTATTTTTTCAATACATTTTTTTCAATGTATTCAAATTATTTGGGGACCTGAAAGGTGTACATCACAATTTTCAGACGACAAATCTACTTTAAATAAGAACATTTTACTTTAAAAAATAGCTGTGTGCTTTATATGCATTATTTTGGTTGTGTTGTGTGGATTTTATGTGGTCCACTGCGGCGCTCTGTCCAAAAATTTAAGCATGAATTTGATAAGATATGGAACCACACCCCTCATATTGTATTTGTTTTTTTTAAGGACGCCAAACTCCCACCCCCCACCCCACACACCCTTGAACATAACTGACAGTATATCGGTTGGGCTCTAGAATATCTGTTGGGCTTTGATGGTATTAGCAGCACTAAGTCTACCCTGTGATTCAAGTGGAGAGTGGGACCATAATAATTTTCCATTTCTGGAAGGTAATGTGTCTGCCGATGGTTGAGAGACAACAGGAGGGACAACACAAGGAGTCTCATCCTTATCTGAGGAGGATACCTCACAATCAGGGTCCTCCTCAAGATTATCCTGTCTCAGACACATTCTCCTCAGTCACTTTTACTGTCGAAAACCTGAAACAAAATCTCTTTCTTGGAGGTCATTTTCAATTGAGAGAGCCCACAGAATACAAGGAGAAATTGTTTAATAAGCTTTTGTGAAAGCTTTTATAGCTTTGCACCTCACCTGTAAACAATGTTATTTATGTTTTCCCCTCCCACAAAAAAAAAAACGTGGGAAATATCAACGTTCTCGCAAGAATAAGGATTCACCTCCCCCATGTCATGTCAACTCGCAGTATATATATATTATAGTAACCAACCTCACCATAATATGCATATTTTTGGAATATTGTTTATGTTTAGAGATAAATGACCATTGAGTCAAATTCCCCCCCAAAGAAAACAAATATTACAAAATATATACAGGCCATAAAAAAAATAATATCATGTTAATTTTATGTTTGCCAAGTTCCCCCCAATAAATTAGGGAAATCTGAGCTTTCACAAAGTCTAGAAGCATCACTAAACAGCAGAGTAACAGCCTCAGGACTAGAGGGAGGGAAATCACTCTTATTTAAACATTATCTGTCTGAGATAATGGTCTGTGTGATACACCCCCCCTTTTACATGAAACTAGACTCGCTCACTGTTAGTGAGCATTATAATAATAATAATAAAAAAAGTACAGTCATAATAAGAGCAATTACATACTACAGGAATTTTATTCACACAAAATGCAATTCTCTCTTCTGTACATAAATGTTAAAAAGTTACCTGTATGTGTTCTCTGTACTGCAGCTGAGCTTCATACTCCCGTTGCTGGTTCTTCAGGCGATCGTCTTTGGTTTTGACAAAGTTCTCATAGTCTCCTCTGTAACTCTCCAGCCTCTGTGAGTGAAGGTGAATCACGTCGGTCACCACTGCGTTCAGGAAGTTACGATCGTGAGAAACCACCAGGATCGTGGACTGCCATGTCTAAAGCCAAGAAATTGTATTATTGTTTATTCAGATAATAAAAATTATTATTAAAAAAAAAAAAAAATTCATGTCTAAATATTTCTGAATTCTTGGTAATTAAAAGCTTTTGTGTAGACTTTATTCTTTTGAAGATCCCTAAAAGCCAATTATAATGAAAATAGAAGTAAGTTTCTATTGACCGTTTCTTAAAAAAAAGTTTCTAGTATT